AAAAAAAAAAAAAAGAAAAAGAAAATGAAGGATGAGCTTTAGCTGAGGGGACAGCTTAGGCTTTTCTGAGTGTGCCTTACCAAATTATCCCAATGTGGGTGGTTTCAAACAACAGCAGTGTATTCCATGACATTCTCGACCCTAATAGTGTCCTCAGGTCCACACCACGTCCGTGGCTATAAAGGAGAATCCCTCCTTTCTTCTTCCAGCTTCCAGTGGCGTCCCACTGTTGTTGGCCTTTCGTGGCTTCTAGCTGTGTGTCTGTGTTTTCTTTTTTTATAAGGACACTAGTCACTGGATTAGGGTCCACTCTAATGTAAAGTGACCTCATTCAGACCTAACTAATTATATCTACAAGAACTGTGTTTCCAAAGAAGGTCACATTCTGAGATTCCAGGTGGCTCCGAATTTTGGGGAGACACCATTTCTCCCATTACATTGTAAAGGGCCGTGAAATCGCAGACCTAAAGGCTGTGTGTCTGGCGGGGCGTGGGGGGGTGGGTCAAGGTGGGATTGTTTCAGCAGAGAGAGAACAGCTTTTGCAAAGGCTTTGTGGCACAGAGGCCTGCGTGACTGTGCAGTGGGGGCTGAAGCCAGGGGTCTGTGGGCCTGGGGTCTGGGCCCATGGAAAGGTGTTTGGATTCAACTCTGAATGCCCCTCAGGGGCTTAAGCAGGGACATGTTGTGGCTGGATTCCCTTTTAGAAGAAGGTTACTTAACCAGGAAGGGGCATGACAGTGACTGAGGGTACATGCCTCAAGGGTTACCCTCAAGCACGCTTAGGTCCCTCCAGTGTTCTAAGCCTCAAATAAATCCCTTGCAGGTAGGTAGGGAAGTACTGTTATCTCTTGAGGAAATGCAGGCCCAGAGAGGTTAAGCAGTTTTCTCAGGGTCACACAGCTAGGAGAAAGAGAGCTCAAGGCTCCAGCTAACATCTTTAGTCTTGTAAGTTGTCAACACACCTGGAGGCAGGGGACGACCCTCAAATACAGCGGGGTGTCCAGGGCATGGGAAAGGCCCCGGGACAGGGAGCATTGATTTCACACCTGTTGGTGCAGGTGATGCGTCATCCGCCCAGTCAAGAGACGGGTTAGCTACTGGGCGAGGGATGAGGTAGCTTCCGCAACTTAGTAAGTGCAGAATTAACTCCCATGTATCTGTGAGCTGCTGTGGATCTTCCCATTCAGAACAAAGCTCAGGACAGAGGAGAAAAGGCAGGCAAACAGCAGTCAGTGCTCACCTGTGTCCACCAAGGAGCATGTTAGAGGGCTGTTACAGACTCAGGCCCACGGCCCATGGCAAGATAATTCCAGCCGTTCCAGAACCACGGAGCTGCTGGCGCTCTGATATTTTGGATATATATTCATGTGGAGAAGAACTTTCTTCTTACTGGGAAGTAAAAATCCATCTCTATTCAGATAAAACATCTCTATTCACATTCCAAACTGGGCACATATCAGTTTTTCCCACACTGGGATTTAAAACATAAATTAGGTGCTGTCTCCGAGGTGTGGAGGATCTAACATCCTCCTGAGAGATGGACTTGGCTGGATCTGAAATTCCCCGTGGAGTGAAAGGCCCTTATTTCCTGCCCTGCCTCTTGTTTCTTTAGTTCCCTCTTTGTCTCAGTGCCTTTTGAGAGAGGAAGAGAAGGAGGGAGAGGGAGTGTGTGTGTGTGTGTGTGTGTGTGTGTGTGTGTGTGTGTCTGGGGAGGGGAGAGAGAGAAAGAGAAAATGAGAGAGAGCAGCTACTCTGATCTCCGACACCACCAGAAACCTCTGGAATAGCTCTTTTCCATTGAGGATTTTTCTCCAGCTGCGTTTTGAGAGGGCTGTGGGGTGGCCCTTCGGGAGAAATCTGCGTCAGTCTCCTGACTGCTGGGATGTGCTCCTTCCCCAGCAAGGTGGAGAGATGCCGTGTGTGCATGTGCGTGTTATGGGGGGTGGGGACGTGTGAAAGACAGGAGTTAAATTTGGTCCCGGATCTGAACACAGGTTTCCTTCCTCTCCTGGTGAAAGGCCCTGTCTCAGATGAATCATGTCCCAGACGTGATCAGCGTTCTGGGCCCACAGAATGGCAAGGCCAGTCTGGTGCTGTTGGAGGGATGCCTGCCCAGGGAATGTCAGACTCTGGTTTGGGACTCTGGAGGGACTTTGGGCCACCCCAAGGGATGACGCCTGTGACTTCAACCAGAACATCTTCCCTATGCAGGCCTCCCTCTGTATCTGTGGGAGACTGGGTTCCAGGACCCTCCTTGGATACCAAAATCTTCAGAAGCTCAAATCCCTGATATAGAATGGTGTAGTATTTGCATCTAACCTGTACACATCCTCCTGGATGCTTTTAATCATCTCAAGATTACTTATGATAGTTCATACAATGTAAATACCATGTAGGTAGCTGCTATACTACATTGTTTATGGAATATGACAAGAAAAAAACCTGTGTATCTGTTCAATACGGTTGCAACCACCCTTTTTTTCCTCAAATATTTTCTTTTCTTTTTTTTTTTCCGAGGTGGAGTCTTGCTCTGTCACCCATGCTGGAGTGCAGTGGCTTCCCAGGTTCAAGCAATTCTCCTGCCTCAGCCTACCAAGTATCTGGGATTACAGGCGCGCGCCACTGCACCCAGCTAACTTTTTTTAGTAGAGATGAGGTTTCATCCTGTTGACCAGGCTGGTCTTGAACTCCTGACCTCATGATCTGCCCGCCTCTGCCTCCCAAAGTGCTGGGATTACAGGTGGGAGCCACCACGCCCAGCTCATTTCCCAAATATTTTCAATCAGTGATTAATTGAATTCATAGATGTAGAGCCCATGGATACAGAGGGCTTACTGAATATTCATTTCATTCATCCACTCACCCACCCACCCATCCATCCATCGCAAGCCTGATGCTCAACCCTGTGCTGAGGGCAGGGCCTCATGTTAATCATCCACCCACCAATTGTTATTTGAACATCTGTCAAGGGGCTGACCCCTTTCATGCACTAGTGAGCATCCACAGAAATGAAGGACAAGGACCCTCACCCTCTAGAGGTCACAGCCTAAAGCAGGGGTCAGCCAGCTTCTCCTGTAAAGGACCAGACAGTAAATATTTTCAGCTTTGCAGACCATAACACCTCTGTCACCTGCTGACCTCCTTGGTCAGCCCGAGACATATGTAAATGAGTGGGCGTGGCTGTGGTTTGACTCCAATCACAAGTTATTTGTAGCCACACATATCTGATTTTTTTTTTTTTTTTGGAGATGGAGTCTTGCTCTGTTGCCAGGCTGGAGTGCAGTGGTGTGATCTCGGCTCACTGCAACCTCCATCTTCCGGGTTCAAACGATTCTCCTGCCTCAGCCTCCTGAGTAGCTGGGACTACAGGTGTGCTCCATCATGCCCAGCTAATTTTTGTATTTTTAGTAGAGATGGCATTTCATCATGTTGGCCAGGATGGTCTCGATCTCC